TAATTAACCCTCCTCTATTGGCCCAAATTCCTTTTCTATCCCGGTAATATTGCCGTTACGTCCTTCGTCAGCGTAAATACAGAACAGAGATGTTTAACTCTAATTTAACCCGCTCAATGACACTAAGACTGACACCATTCATCGAAGCCCTGACCGTTAGGTAGGTTAGGTTAAGTTAGGTTTAAAATAAAAAACGTTTTCGTCTCAAAATTACTTTCGAGGTTATGAAAATTCGAGCAAACGTTAAATCTGGAAAGTGTCATTTCGGAATACTGATAGGTAACCATTGAATATTTAAGTAGGACAAATAACGAGTTCGGTAACACTGAATCGAAATTTTTTACATCCGTTGTTTATTATTTAAAGCTCTGTGGCCAAATTCCGCATCTTACCTTTGACCGGTGATCCACTCAACCTTTAGGTAACTGTAACTTTCATGTTTAGTTATAAGTAAGTGTAAGTTATACACATAATAAATGTTTTTGATATATATTTCCTTTTCAATGAAGTAATATTTGTTTTCTTTATACACGTAAACAAGTTATTGTAATTACTGTCCCCTATATTTAGTTCTGCTGGAAGAAATTTCTTTTAAAAGTAAGCAGTAAGTATATTATAAATGTGATTCTACATTTTTTTTTATGACAAAGTTATAATCATACATTTATGAAAGATAAATAGAGATTATTATGATAATATTTCCTAATAATAAAGCCTAAAACTATGCTACGTTAAAAAAGTTCCTACTAATTGTACATGAAATTTTATAATAAACAACTGTTGAATATTTAATTATTTAAAAAAACAAATACCCCATTGCAAAAATATTTAGCTGGAAACATTGACTTACAATTATATGGACGTCGGGTCCGCGCTAAAAAGTGTCCGAACTTATAGGGCGTTAAAATCGTATACAGAGCGTCATTCACGCTTTAGTCTTCTGTTGTTCGACTGACAGCGAAGCAAGCAAAATTAGACAGTACTGCGATGACATTACAATTTAAATTCAACGTTTTAGCTTTTTGATATTCCTTGACATGTCGCTACGTTTAAATAGGTTGACTTGGGACATTTTTTTCGTGGTTTTTGTATTAGACCCGTCGTATATTTATTTGTAAGTCAATGGCTGGAAAGATAAAAAGAAATAATACACTATTTCGATTATGTACACTATATGAACCGTATGAGTGCGGGAAAAAAATTCGAGCCGAGTTAAAATCAACTCTTAATGCTGAAGCGTGTCGGTGCCACTGTAGAAGAACTCAGATTGTACACCTAGAGATAAAATGATCCCTGTGATATTTCTGACCGTCATTTCTCTGATTCGAAACTTATACGAAAGACTGAAGCGCTGTAGAGTATGGTGTAATCCTTATTTCGATTTCTGTATTCACATCGAAAGAAAAACCTTTACACTAGCTCGGAAAGGCTTTCTTTCTCCTTAGAAATCCACGCGCAAAAGCATTTTTACCACGCTAGCGTGGAAAAATTTTTGAAATTCGAACTTGACGATGGACTGTGATGGAAAAAAAAAATAATAACACGTTCAAATAAGCGATTTGTCGTGCATTACTTATTTACGTAATATAAATTCGTTGGTGTATTTTATTTTTATTATTGTTGACATTAAATTGGCAACGATAACTAATTGCGTTTATTAAATTATTTTAATTAGTCGAAGAACTAATTTAAATTCAATAATCACTTAATCACACAAAATAAAAGCACAAGCAAGACTAAAAATTGATGAGGTGTAAATTCAGAACGCATCCGAAGGTTTTCATTTAATTAAAAAAACTGATGTTTTAAAGTTCAACTGTTTTTCTTTCATCTACCATTTTCCTCGCTATACGTGGGGCACAGTATAAGTTAGTTTCTGGAATGAATAAGAAAAAAATACTATAAATGGTCAGAAATGAATTCATTGTTTCTCAAAATATCCTCCGTTAGCGTTAATGCACTTTTTTATACGAATGAACCAATTTTGAAAACATTTGTGCCTGAAAATCGTTGACCACGTAAATGGTTTTTAATTTTTGGAAATAAATAAGTCACAAGGTGCCAGGTCGGGACTGTACGTTGGTTGGCTCATAAGGTCAACGTTGTTCACCTTCAAAAATTCATTTGTCTGTCTGGCCGTGTGAGAACTGGCATTATCGTGGTGCAAGATGATACGGCGTTTACGGTTATTTTTACTGAGTTTGTCAATAATTTCCGGCAAACAAATGGTCGTGTACCAATCACTGTTCACGGTACAACGATTCTTCAAAGCAACATTAGCCACGTGTCCAGTTTTATTTAAAAAAAGAAGCAATCATCCGCTTAACGCACTTTGCACGTGCGCCACTTTGGTTGGTTTCGGCTCATCACGAAAGACCCATACGCTCGATTGCAGATTTGTTTTGGGATCGTAACTATAAATCCATGTTTCGTCATCTGTTACTATGTCCCACACCAAATTTGACGCCCCTTCGTTGAATCTGGTAAGCATGGCATTGCACCAAGTGACGCGATCCGTTTTTTGAGCCTCAGTCAAATTGTGTGGGATCCACCGAGAGCTCAGTTTTTTCACACACAAATGTTTATGTAGTATTGATTGTAATTGACTCATGCCTATGTGTAAAGATGCCCGAATCTCATGGTATGTCACATGTCTGTCTGTTTTGATCACACGGCGCACAGCATCGATGTTTTTGTTGTTCACAACAGTGGACGGGCGACCATCACGAAATTCGTCACTGAGATTCACACGACCGCGTTTGAATTCTGCAAACCAGCTATAAATAATCGTTTTGCATGGTGCTTCATCGCCAAAAGCAACGAAAATGAAAATGAAACAAACTGTATTCCACAGCCAAAGAGTTCCATTTTCAAATGTTGTAATTACTTTTTAAATATTGTTTATGCAAGTGGCCAGTTCCGGAAACTTATAGTGCGCCCTATGTAGTGAGGTGAAAAGTTGTATGTTTCGCTCGGCAGCAAAATTGTTTTGCGTCTCGTGCCTTGAAACCCTCGCTACGCTCAGGAATCTACTTTTTAACGGCCTTCAAAAAAAGGAGGAGGTTCTCAATTCGACAGTATGTTTTTTTTTGTATGTATGTTACGCGATAACTCCGGTATTTTTGAACCGATTTTGATGATTCTTTTTTTGTTGGAAAGAGGGTCCCCTCCTCCATAATAGTTACATTTAATTTAAATTCTAAATTTAAACGTGATTGTTTTTGTCGTATTTTCCTTTCGTTTTGCTGTTTTTGATTTGATAGCTACATACGTGTTTTATAATAAAAAAATAATAAACTGTAATTAAGTTTGCTTTGGGATTGCTCACTCGTTGTTAGCACCCACCCTTTACCCCATTTAAACAGTCCGCTTCACTAAGCATTCCTTATTACTATAGAAGCAAGGTGTCAAAAGCCATTTTGTCAATGTTAATCAATTGTAATTTAAAAGTATGTCCTTGTAACAATTTAATTTCAAATCGAGTTTTTAGGTTTTCGCGATTGTTACACGTAGGAAATGTAACTATTTTTTCCAGATTTAAATCGCGTAAAGGGCCCGAAACGTTAGTTTGTTTGAAAAAAAACAAATATACGCGATTTAAATCCGGAAAAAATTTAATGACTTATTGAAAATATTTATACGCATGCTGAAGCAGTTATTCTTATAAATTACATTATGGCCATGAGGTTGGTATAAAATGAACGTGCCTTTAAACCTATATCCTAAGTTCCATTGCTGCACATGGGTCTTTTATATATATATTTTTTAATTACTTTAACTTTAAATTGATAGTAGAATATTTTGTAATAGATAATTTATTTCGTTTGCCGGAGAACCGGGTCAACGCGCTTCGATAGTTATTGCGAAAATTAAAAAGAAATACAATAAAAAATGAGGCAAGTAAGCAAGTTAAAAAAGTATCATAAAAAACTAAAACATCTGTATACAGTTTATTTCTAACAGATTTGACAAAAGAGGTTCCCTATTTTGTAACAGACTTTAAAAAAGGAGAAGGTTCTCTATTCGACGTATTTTTTTGTGTGCATTAACATGCACAAAAATAATACTCCGGCACATACATTTGTGAACCGATTTTGCTGATTCTTATTTTGTTGGAAAGAGGGTACCTCAGTATTGGTATCATTTCAATTTGAAGAAAATATTCCAACTCTAAGGGTGGCAAACTAGGGGATGAATCCGGTTTCGCGCACTTTCCGATATAAGATTGCAATAAAATTTGGCAAATAGATGTAATTAATAGAGGTACGACGAGTGGGGTATTTTTTAAGTGAAGTGTTTTTCTTGATTTGTTTTATTAACTATTGTTTTTAATTTTCATTTTATTTCATTTTTTTATTTTTGTCTGTTTTCTGTGTAGTTTATTTAGGTCAGCATATGTTATGTTATATTATTTTATAGTGTATATATTTTTTATATGTGGTAAGAGTTGTCATTGTTTAATGATTGTTTGTTTATTGTGATGTTTAAAAACCTATATATTTTATATTATGTTAAGTTGATGTATGTATATGTTCCTGTTGTTAAAGTGTATGTTCGTTGTAGTGGTGTCCTATCTGTTTCTGTTGTGGTGGCCACAGAATATCAGCGCCGGTCTGTTTCTCCGTGAGCAAACTGGCACATGCTGAGTGGTGACCATTTTGGTTCCTTATTTTTGTATTTGTAAAGTAGTTATTGTCAATGTAATGTGGACCAAATAAATATATTTTCTTTCTAAATCCCCGAACTTTTGAGATCGGTTTTTTATAAAAAAGTTGTAATTATTATGATGCCGATTGAAAAGGGTAGACGTAGGCTTATGTTCCACCCCCTTCTCAGGGGTATTCCAATGATTCGCACTTGACGCCTGCAGACTTATTAACATTGAATGCATTATTTTGGTGTACATACTCCATCGTCGACCTTATCGTCACTTTCCATCAGGTGAAATGGAGGTCAAATGTGCACTTGTATATTATAAAAAATAATAATAAAAAACTTACATAATCAATGACCATCCTAACCCACGAGCCGAAGAAAATGGCGCACACGATACCTAGCAGCAGCATTACAACCGCCGAGGCCAGGACGAACCCTGAGGAAAAATAAAAGGCTTTATTAGCATGTACATAAAACTTATACTCTGTGGGTTAAAAGGAAAACGCTCTCTTGACGAGTAGAAGTTAAAATTTAAAGACAATGTATCTGAAAGAGGCATAATTTAACTCATTCAAATGCTACCCACAAACATTATTGCGTTTACTACATTTTACACCACATTTTTATCTTCGTTCAGAAAATTACATAGAAATCAGATGCGAGGAATTCACTTTAATACGACGATATGTAAACTTATTTCAAAGGCTGTTTTTTGTTTGAGAGGGCGTTTTAATCGGTAGGGGTCCATCCACGCAACCTTTCTGTTACCCCCGCAGGACTGATGACCACTAACTATAACGCGGCTAAATGACAAATGGTCAAATAACCATTTTAAATAGCAATAATCTCAGTACAGAGAACTAAAAAAACCGACCTCAAAAGTACGTGGAATTACATCTATTAGCCAAGTTTTATTGAAATATCCCCTAGTTCGCCACTATACAGGACTTGACACAGGAGATAATAAAATCGGTTCTCATTACTCAAAGTATATTGAGAGATAAAAACGCCTTAAATTGGAGAATAGCAAAATCAACCAATAAAATAATTGCTCCTTAAAATAAAATTTAGGCGCTATTTATAAAAATGAATCTTCATGCGTGAACAGCCAACCTTATAGGTGGATGATTTTCTTCAAAATTAAATGGGACCACTATGGAGGTACCCTCTTTCCAACAAAAGAAAAAGAATCATCAAAATCGGTTCACAAATGGCGGAGTTATCGCATAACATACATACAAAAAAAAACACAGTCGAATTCAGAACCTCCTCCTATTTTTGAAGCCGGTTAAAAAAAACAGTCAAAATTAGTTAACTTGTTCAGCTTATCGGAACTTACCCTAACGATGCATAGCTGATATATCATGAAACCATTTCAATATTCTAAAACTGGGTTATGGTTTTTTATGACGTCTCAAAAAAATATTTTGTCACTTAGCCACGTTTTAGCTAAAGGACGGCAGAGCAGAGAGGTGTCCAGATAATTTACCCATGTAAAAAAAGGACCCAGGACCTTCCGATCTGTACCCCACAGTGGTAACCGCAAGGCCAACGACGCCGTCAAGTACTATCAGCCAAATAGACGCCATTCACAAAAATGTTTTTTTTCTAATCGTAACTGGCCCCGTCTCTTATTACGCTGACCTTGTGAAAACCTTTTGTTGAGAGGAAAAATATAATCTAGTTTAGACATTGGTTTACATGAACTAGCAGCTGCGGATGAACGCTGTTGACCACTGTTGGTTACACGCAAAAATAACCCTTAAGGTGGAAATGAAGATATCTGTCAAATGACTTCAAAAAAAGAGGAGGTTGTCAATTTTACTTTTTTTTTGTATGTATGTTACGCGATAACTCTGTGATATTACTGAACCTTCTTTTTTTTGTTGGAAAGAGGGTACACCAGTATTGCTCCCATTTAAATTTGAAGGAAATATTCCGCCTCTGGGGTAGCAAACTAGGGGATGAACCCGGTTTCGCGCACTTTCCGGTAACCGATTTCAATAAAACCTGGCGAATAGATGTAATTTCACGAAATTTCGAGGTTTTTTTTTAATAAAAAAATTATAATTCGAATTTAAAATTGCATTTCATCGCGTTAGAGATGAAACTTCAACGCATTTTCGCATAGTGCGTTTTTACTAATTTTTGTTGAAGCGAAACTATATTTAGTAGCAGGAAAACGCCTTGTGGCACTGTTCGTCCAGGGAAGAGCTGCCACTTTACTTATTTCAGGGGCCAAGCATTAGTTTGAGTCAATTTATTGCTCAGGGTGAGAGGCGCAATGGCAGTACCCCTCGGATCTTTGCGATTTAAGGCTCTGAGTGGAACAGCAACAGCTATTCAAATTCAAATTAATTTATTCAATGTAAGACAACATAGTCCATAATTATACTAATGCATAGAATTACATCACGTTACTAACTAGATTACATTCATTATATTCGAAGTTACAATAATTAAATTTTAAATAATGGCCAAATATGTAAAATTAATTCAAGTCAAGATGCTGTTGGCGAAGGAACTGCATCGCTTGCGCGTTGCTGCTTGGAAACAATCTACCCGCGCCTCAGCGAACATCTCTGAAGCGCTACAGTACCCAGCCGCCCCAGCAGCACCCTAAACGAGTCATTGAATTGTACACGCTTGAACAGGCGTGTTGTTAATTCTCAGACTAGTGTTCACTACCTAATTTTCGTGGCAAATTGTTTACTTAAATATTCAAGTTATACTATCGTGCAATTATTAAATAACACCTTACGATAAAAATAATAAAAATGACCACAACAATAAACACTGGTCTGAGAATCATCGTTGTTAGTCCCGTAAAAAAGCATTACGTACTGCGCAAGCGCGCTTAAGGCTGGTTGGTCTTCTCATAGTACAGGCGATTATTTACGATAGAAACCAGTCCCACAAGTACAATTCTCAAACTCATCATAAAATCTTATAAATGTACATGATAATATGCCATAAATTACAAAACTCATCTTGTTTATGTTACTACAAGAGCGGACAGCGCATTCTAACAGATGATCTAATTGATCTGTCACTCAGTCACGTATTTCCCTACGTGATATCTCCACGTCGCCAATCGACGTGCGTCATGGCAATTTTGTTGGCGAATCTGAACATGTGTGTAGTCTCCAACACTCATTGGATTGGATTGGATTGGAGCGTGGTGGACTATGAGTTTAACCCCAGCAGTGGGGTCATTAGATACCGCTACAACTCCTCCACATGACATTAATCATAAAATATAAAAAACATCTTTTATCTCAACAGATATGTTTTGCCAGTCAAACATATTTTAAAATATAAATAAATTAATTATACCATTATTTGTAAAGTAAATCCAACGTAATTGTTATGTAATGTTATATAATGTAATGTTAAATTTATTATTATTATTTATTATATCCTTAATTGATGGGTTTGATACCTGGTAACCTAAAAATCTTGAATTTCCGAATAAAAATTACGTCATATTTGGTGGCTATAGTTACAATTTAATATTATTTTGTAACACTAACTTACATTATTATTTATGTTACTTACTTACACTACTTACATTACACACTACTTACATTACTTGATGCTTTAGAGTTAGGTATTTTGTGTGTGATGAAGTTTGGTGGTATGGCTTACTGGGTTGCAATCGCTCGCCATATGGTATTGGCAGAAAACAAGCTGTGTTTGACTTTCACGGTCTACAGTATGTATGCTGAGTCAAGACCATTTCGACACAAACTGTAGTAATACATACAATTTTGTTAATTTTCACAGTATTTGTTTATTTCTCTCACCATATTTGTTTTTAAAATGAAATTAACTTAAATCGGACTTTATTCATCAAACACACCCACACATATACATAGAACATCACACGATATTACGTACTAACAAATTATGAGCGTAGTGCTGTTTAAATGTGTATTTAATTAATAATGTATGTTCTATGTGATTTTGTGTTATACTTTGTGTAGTGACTGTAAATATTTTGTTTCTGTTTGCATTTGTGTTGAATAAACTTGATATATATCTATCTATTTTGCCTGTCTCCGTGGCCGAACGGTTACGGTTCCCGGGCCGGTAGAGGTATTTGTATGGCCAACATTTATTTGGGCGTAATTTGTGGTTGTCTATGTATGTGTCCATGGCACCGCGACACAGGGTTTCCCTAATGCGGGGCTAGGTTGAGTGTGTGCGGTATTATGATTATTACTACAAATACTTGAGAAACTGTTGCGGGCATGGGCACAACAACTTAATCCAATGCATAAATAGTGAGTAATAAGGTCACATCTCCAAAATTACAACTTTTGTGAAGAGAGGTTTGAAGATTCTACGGGCGATATTAGTGGATGACTTTTTTAACTTTAAGTAGGATAATTTTTATTAATAAAAAAGGAGATTAGTAGGTTGGTAGCTGTAAAGGTATCTAACTAGGTGACGAAATACTTTCATAGATGGCGCTACGGCTAAAAGTCGTTGAAAACTAAATACAAAGATACGACAACAAGCACATAGAAAAAATCGTGAGGTCCGCTGGTTCGTTCCGTGACATAGTTGGCATTACGTCTGGCACGGTTTGCTAGAAGACGTCTATATTTTTTTCTTTCTTTTAATAATTATAAAAAAAGAGAGTTGGGTATGACAGAAGAAGCATGAAAGTAGAATTAATGCAGTGAAGATGATGTCTTTGTGAAAAATTTGTGAAATAAAATTGAGTGATATAGTGAAGAATACTCTAATACGTGAAAGGTGTGGCTTGAATGAGGATGTGGTGACTAGAATAGAGAAAGGGATGTTGAGGTGGTTTGGGCATGTAGAGCGGATGGATTTAAGAACAATTACCAAACAGATTTATGATGCGTATGCGGATGGAAGGGTTTTAAGAGGACGTCCTAGAAGGACTTACATTGACCAGATCAGTGACGCCCTCAAAAAGGCTAAGATCCGAAGTGACAAGGATAAAAAGTTGTATGAAAAGGGTAGTTGATATATGTGAGGCTCGAGAGTTGTGTCAGGATAAAGTGGCATTCCATGGTCTCTGTCTACCTCTCCTGTGGGACCAGGGCGCGAGCTTATGTACGTAAGTATGTAAAAAAAGGAACCGAATTCAAATTTTGCTTATATGTGTACATACAAACTGAAACTAAAAGTTAACAATCGGTGATCGGGATTCATCCCCTAGTTTGCCACCCTTAGAAGCGGAATATTTTCTTCCTTGAGGTGGGTACCTCTTACCAACAAAAGAGAATCATCAAACGTCGGTTAACAAACGCCGGAGTAACCACGTAACATACCCACAAAAATTAATACTATCGTATGTAGTTTTTATTATTTTTATGACCTTTCTTATGATACTAATTGACGGGAAGAACTAATCTTGCGTCTGGTGTTAAGTGACACACTGATCAATAACAATTACAG